GGGAATTCACATTGGGCATTAAGCCATATGCAGAAGGTAATTAACTCCCAACTGTGTTGATGACTATTTGTTTTAACTCCCTCTCATTATGACAGTCTTGTGAGCGGGTGCACCATGTAACCTACATTGGGTGGGTGTTTTTTTGTTTTTGTTTTTGTTTTTTAATGAAGTTTTTTATTATGTAGTAAAAAGAAAATCTCAGTTTCATCTCTGCTGCTGCTGAATCAGTGGTTTTATGTTCTGCGTAGATAATGATGGTAAGAGTCAAATCTCTAACCAAACAACCAAACAAGCAGGATAACTGAGTGAGATGGAAAAGGGTCTATATTTAGTGTTAGCATAGCTGTTTGTGTGGGGAGGAAGTGGGCGCATAATGCAAGCACTATGCTGATTACACGCCTACACATATCACCCATTCTTGCGTCGCTCGATGCTGGCAGCCAGCAGTCGTAACAGTCGGGATTAATTGCTTTATTTCTTCACTTGTTACAGAGCACAAACTTCACCAGGTGCTTTGGTGTTTTATTCCTGTGTTGAGCAATGAAGTGGCTTAGACGACAAAGCACCTACACGCTGAATTAGCGCTTTTTTTGTGTGGCTCGTGTAGCAAAGAGGGGGGGGGGAAAAAGCCGTGCGTCTAAATGAATCAGTGCATCATGTTTTTCTGTTTTTTGCATTTCTTGGATTACTGAAAGGATAATTAATCTACAGGAATTTGCGCAAAGACTTGGATTCTTTTTCTCTCTTTTTTGTCAATTATGCAAAAAACAACAACGAAAAAAACCTCTTCCTTTTAAGAATCTGTTGATTCTCTTCTTCATGCTTTGTTTGAACATTTTTTATACATTATGTATTGTTTTGAAAAAATATAATATGAAATTTTAGAAAAAGGCATTTTAAGAACATTGAAAACCATTCATCACCGACACCCAAACAAAAGAAATTGATCATAAAATAAGCAGATCAGAAATCAATCCCTTGTTGTAGCCTATTTTTTAAACCCTTTCCTTGACTTTCTCCTTTATATGACAGCTTCTTAGTTTCAGCCCAGAAAACAATCTGCCTTTGTTTCACAATCATCTAGATACAGAACGGCCTCAGCACACAAAGCCGCACTGCTGCTGAGCCTCATCAACCGGGCCTCTACTCGTGGCCTTTAATGTTTTCCTGGTGTGAGCGTACATGCGCTTTGTGTGTTTGTGTGTGTGGCTGGGATGTATAGCTAGAATGCTGGAGGAGGACTGAGCCACAGGATCAGACTTTGCTGGAAAGGCGGGGTAGGGTAACATGTCATCTGTGACATCACCACCACTCGAAGGCTCGACCGGGCCAGCTCCGTGCTGCAGAGGTGGAGTTTCCTTCCTGTGGAGCTGACCAGGGCTGAGTGTGGCTTGACCCACCTTACCACCGACAGCTAAACTAGACTGGATTTATTTTTTCGTCATACAGTGTGTTGTTGTGTGCCCACTGTTGTGCTGGTTTTCTTTCATATTGTTAAGCTTTAGCACCTTTATTTGATAATTTGTGTCAAATAAACCAAAATTTTGTCCTGCTGCTGAGTGGAGGTGAAACCAAATCATGATGCTAATAATGCGAGAAATAATTATTTGTTCTTCTGCTGAATTTGTTTGTTTACTCACTTACGAAGAAATGAGCAGTCTCTAATTTTTATGTCATTGTAGTGGGGGGAGACAGAATATAACTCCTCTTTACACAAACTCTCTAAATCTTTTAGGTTTCTTGGCTGCTGCTTCTCAGCTCGAAGCTTCAGCTCCTTCCACAAGTTGTCTAAAAGACTGAGATCTTTGAAGACTGGTGAGGCTACTCCATGAATCCTGGTGTGCTTATTCTTTAGCCGCTGCTTTTTTGCCTTGGCAGTATGGTTTGGGTTATTATCATACTGGAAGACTCAGTGATGATCCATCTTCAGTGTTCTGACTGGGGGGGGGGGATTTTACACAGCATAGCCTCTTCCATTGGCCCCTCAGTGCGCTGCAGTCATCCTGTATCTTTAGCAAAAGAAAGAAAAACAGTCCAAAACATAATTTTTCCACCTCTGTGCTTGACTTTGGGATGGTTTTCTTTGGGTCACAAGCAAACTAAAGATCCTGCTGGTGCAGAAAGATTTCCATCCGTTGCGCTGTAGTGTATCACGAATGGTGTTCTTTGGGATTGTGGTCCCAGCTGCTTTCAGATCATTACCACTTCCTCACATGTATCAGTTATGGGCTGATCCACCACCTTTCTCATGATCATCCTCCCCCCCACGAGGCAAGATCAGTTGATGGAATTTTTATATTTCTTCCATTTCTGAATAATCACAGCAACAGTTGTCACCTTCTCACCAAGTTTCTTGTCGATGGTCTTGTAGCCCACCTCCAGCAGCCTTATTTTTTCTAATCCATATCTTGCAAACACACACGTCCTGTTCTGGTTTATTAAAGATTTATTACACAAGCTGGTATACTGTATTTTATCTCAGGTTTGCAATGTTGCTGCAGAAATCTTTAATGTCAAAGCTTTTGACCTCATCTGAATCCATCTAGTCTTTTCATTTCTGTCTAGTCAAGTCATAATCTGCCTACATTCTTGAAAAAGTATTTTGCTTATCAGTTAATTTATTAATTGTGCGTTGTGCTCATAGCTGTAGGTTTGACATTTTTAGATGAAATACAATATGACAGCTAAAAAACAAAAGTAAAAGAGAGCCGAGAGGCAGTCAGCACCTTAAGGATACTACCTTTGTGGTGTGTGGTGAGCGTCTGGGAGCTACTGTTTCCCAAAACCTGCGGCTGTTCTCGTACTCGACATGCAGCAGATTCATTTCGGAGGAGCCTGTTTCAGCTGATGAAGTTGTGGACCAGCATGAGGATTTATAGGCCATATTACTACCCATGATTCATGCTGGCACATGTCATATAGTTATTGGTAGCCCTCCTGTCATGTTGCACTTTCTCACCTAGCCCATCGCTTTGCTGTGGCCCAGCTGAAAGCCAGCCAGGCTGGGCTACAGCCCTGTTAGTGCTGGCTCTGGTGCTGCTGGCACTGCAAAACCGCCTCATCTATCACGGGAAATGGCAATGAGACAATCGGCCAGAGTGGAGTGCAGCATCTCCATCGCCTGCTCGCGCGGAGGAGGGAGAAGGGAGAAGGGAGGAGCAGCCAGGGCAGAGCGATGCTCATCGTAGCCCGAGGTTGACAGAATAGGAATAAGAGGTTGACGTGAGGCCGAGGTCACATGCTGAAGCTACAGCTGGGAGAGTGCTAGAGGTGGTGGTGGGCAGGGACAAGAAACATAAGCAGCATTTTTTTTTAGTTGTTGGGGTTTTTTTCTTAACCCCCTTCCTCCCTCTCTCTCTCTCTCTCTCTCTCTCTCTCTCTCTCTCTCTCTCTCTCTTGCTTTCTGTCTGTCTCGTCGTCTGAAGGCAAACTGTCAGTGCAGGTTTGCAGTGTGCAGCAAGTTCTAGGATGCACAGTAATACTGATGAATTATTGAACAGCGGTGAACGGATGTGACACAGGCCAGTCTTGCTTCCACGCTACACGACAGGAGCGTGCGATGGAGAAATTACCTGCATGTGCAAAAAGCTGCAAGAGACAAAAAATATATAAATACAAAAATAAAGTACCCTATAACTTAAACAGAGCTTGACTGAGGACTAAGAAAGGCTCTATAGAGGGCACGAAATCTGATTATATGCAGTATCAACTAGAGACTTAAAGGCATAAACATTTTGATCCCATGAATATATTTGAGCATCCCAAGATACAGTATTCATGGATCATCCGCGATGGAGCTGCAGAAATGATCCAACAGGCTAAAAAGAGTTTTGATAGCATATATGAGCCTCTCGTAGCTTTAAGTGGTGACGTGCTTTTGCAGTTTCAGTGCCACCATCACTTAATATTTATCGACTAAAATGTTTCAGTCCCTCTCAAATCAAAATTACGTTGCGTTAACCGCCTCCGTATTACTCAGAGATGTGCTACAGACAGCACATAAAGCAAGAGCTCTCCGTCTCCTCAGCTGCCAGCTAACCCCAAAATAAGTGGGATTGTGTGTGAGTCATAAAATAACATACAGTTTCAGGCACAAACAACGCCACTGCAACTGTAAAAGTTTAATTTGGCCTATTGTTAGAATGACAGGGAAACTTGTCTGGATTTTTATGTCCTCGTGATCGCGCTGCGTTTTAGGGTGTTGGTTTGACATTCCCCGAGCACTCCCCTCAGCTGTCACCGCTTAACTAGTCCCCGAGGAGAGCGAGAACAACAAAACATGGGAAAAATGTAAAAAATGCACAACTCTGCCCCCCCCCCCACCTCACCCCACCTCCAACACCGCCCTGGCCCCACCCTTCCAGCTGAGGTTACTAAGAGACCAGATTTTGGCCTCGGAGTGAAAGAATCAAAGCCTACAGTGGTAACGGAGGAAACATCTTGTAAATGAGATATTAGCGTGAAAAGCAGGCTGCATTCAGAGCCTAAGCGGCTTTTTTTTTCGTGCAGGTGTCTGCACACAGTGTGCTTACCTCCTGCGTGCAGCATGCTAGTAAAGGTAGAGGTCAGTGGAACTGTAGTGTGTTTAAACCTAAAACAAAGTTTTGAAGCCGCCTGATCAATGCACACAGTCATTTTTCAGCAGCGTTTAAGCACACAGTGGAGAGAACAAAAGGGTAAAAAGTTAACTCAGACTTTATATTTTTAAATGTGCTGTGGACATGCTTTATGAATGGTGTTGAAATATAAACACACTTTTGTATAAAGACGTACACAAAAAGACATCTTCTAATAACGTCACTTTATTTCATTTTATGTTTGTTTTTAATGTGAAATCTACAAAGTAAATGCACTGTAGGTTGGATGTAATGTTGATATGTCTAACCCGACGCAGTTCCAGGCCTCGGATGCATTCACAAATTCATTATTTCATTTGTTACAAGAAGTGGCAGATAGAAAATATTATCCACCTTTAATGTCGTTTTCTTTGCCTCCTACAGTCGTACTTTGTCACCGACTATGACCCGACAATTGAAGACTCCTATACCAAGCAGTGTGTGATCGACGAAAGGCCGGCCAGGCTCGACAGTAAGTGCACTTTGCTGAATAAACACGACCAGTGCAAATACGCAAGTACAAAGACGCACACGTAGCTCCTTTGTCCTGAAGTCTATTGCACTTGAGGAACTGATTTCAGAAGTTTATTTTGCTGTTAGCTACCCTGTGCGTGCGTGTGTGTGTGTGTGTGTGTGCTTTTTTTTTTGTCAACGCACATGTTCATGCTCTCTAGTCCTCGACACGGCTGGACAGGAAGAGTTTGGAGCCATGAGAGAACAATACATGAGGACAGGGGAGGGCTTCCTGCTCGTCTTCTCAGTCACTGACAGAGGAAGGTAAGTGACAGTTTTCGTCATGTGCAAACACACACGCGCACACACCCACAAACACACGCCTTGCACATTTCTGTTTACAGTAACATACGCTTGTGCGCTGCTCCTCCTCTATCTCTGACTCTAAAGTAAAACCATAAATCTTGCACCGATACTCTCACTTGTTGCTTTTACTTCCGGACCTTGTTATTGCTCTTGTTGTCATATTCTTTTGTTCTTCGCACTTACCCCCCTATCCTGTTCTCTTGACTTCACCTTAGCTTTCTATTTAAAGCCTGCTGAAACAATAGCGCATGGGCTCGGAGAGCATTATACAAGTTGACGCTTAAGGGAGTTGACAAGAATCCCGTAGCAATCCCTGCTGAATTCCATCATGTATACAGTAGAAACAAGCACGTATGTATGTACTAACAACACTCTGAGGCACAAAGAGTCCTTTAACTTGTTAAACCCTAGTGCATAGCACCCTGGGGCAAAGTAACACTGTCACGGACCTTTAATTTAAACTTTAGTCCACACCTTCTAATTGGTTCTGATTTTAAACAACATTTAAAGGATGTCAGATTTATTTGGTCACCTTGGTAAAAACAAGTGTCGTAAATCAGCTTTAAGCCAGCGCCAAGCAAATTCATCTTTTGGAAAAGAAGACAGGCTACTGTAATAGTGAAACTACAAAGAAAAAAGGGTGTTCCTCCTGTTTATGTAGATAATCTCAGAAACGGCAGGCTCCACCAGTTTCAGTAAAAACCAACTGATTCCATATAGCAGCATCTAGGCTTCCTCTCTTCACTAATACTATTGAATAGAAGCAAAAAAGTAATAAAAAATATGCAGATACATCAGCATGTCTCTGTATGTCCCTATGTCTCTCAGTATGTGTCGCAGCTTACGCCACATAAAATAGCGTTTTATGTGAAACTTTATAGAGTTTATGCTGTCATCTCTGTGTTTCTACTCATCTTCTTCATGCCTGTGTCCCTGCCCAGCAGTGCAGTGAGCTGCATTCCCCTTGCCCCCACAACGCCCTCCCAATGTTTATGTTGTAAACAGCCTTTCCTTCCTCCATTTATATTAGTGAAGTCCTTCCAGATTTACTATGTGCTCACCAAGCTGTCTGTGGGCCCGATGCTGGAACGCCGCCCTGGGTGCACTGTTGCATTCTGGCCCCCCACCTCCTCCTTTTTTTTTTTTTGTTGGGTTGAAACTAGCCCTCACATGCTATCTTTATTGTAGTGGGTCAGCATTCAAGTCAGCATGCAGAAGAGAGCCTTAAATAAATGCATTCGACATTTTTTATATTCTGACATGTTTTAGCCTTTCTGTCTCATGCACACTGCCGATGACCCTTATCTCTGGGTGATCGCTCTGTTTGCGTGGGTGTGGTAATGGTGGGCGTTTTTAGCTACATTCCTTTTGCTTTGAAGTCTGTCTCATGTACATTTTTAGATGAATGCATTCATCGATACGTGAGAAGATATTGCACAACCTGTTTGTTTAGGGAACACGACCTAACACCACATACTATGATTTACAGCTTTGAAGAAATCTACAAATTCCAAAGACAGATTCTCCGAGTGAAAGACAGAGACGAATTCCCTATGATCCTTGTAGGAAACAAAGCAGATCTGGAACTACAGAGACAAGTAAGTCCCACAGATTGCACTGACAGACTCACATGTACCTGGTTTGATCATCTGAAGAGATAATACGAACCAGTCTGGAGGATTTTGCATTTGCATACTTGAAAGTGGTAGCGCAGCAGCTGCAGCGTAGCTGCTGAGATACAACAGGATGTGAGTGAAAGAATAAAAGAAGCTGCAGAAAGGCTGGTGTCGAGGGGAGGATGGATGGAAACAGGAGTGTGATGAAATGATGAATTTTCAGCCGCTGGTGTGCAGTCAGGCCTCGCTCCCTTCGGTAAATCCACACCGCCCCCTAATGGTGAAAAAGAATCTTGAATTTTGATATAAATAGGTTGAATCCACTGACATAGTTTTGTAATATAACAAGCCTGCGGTAGCATAAATGTATGTTAATTTTCTGCTTCTATTTAGATTTTCCAATTTCCTTATAATGCCCAGTGTTAGGTATAATGATGAGAAACTGCTCCACGTGCCAAAATTTCAAAGACGGTAGCTCAATACTTCAAGCTTCAATTTAAATCCTTAAACCAGAAGTATGTGGTACTTTATAGTTGTTGTTGTTTTTTTACACTGATCTGCCCACGTGTGACTAACATCTACCAGACCTGACAGAGATGGTTCCAACTCGTCTTATGCTTTGCTGCTATATAGTTCATCCAGAAATGTATTTCTTTTTTATTATCCAGTCCCACATTAAATGCGCAGCTGTGGCGCAAAGAGGGAGATGGCAGATTTCAGCAGTGTCCCAGATGCATTCTACATAGTAATTACATTTATTCATTTTTGTGTGGACGGGTAGTAATGAATAGGAACCATCTCCACAGGAATTGGGGAAAAAAATGTGAAATTATACTGTTTGTACGGCTTTGGAGAATCACTGATCGGAGGACTTTTTCTGAACCATCGGACACATTTCAGAGATGGCAACAAGAAAAAAGGGAATGCTGTATATGTGTTTCTGAAGTGAAAGGTAACCAGATCCATTTAGTGTTATGAAGGATCACTTTCATTTCAGTAGTTTGAACCTGTGGTGCTCGCATTGTACGCTGAGTCATGCTGTCTTTGATTCTTCTTTATTTATTTTCCCATTGGGCTGATTATTAACATTTAGCAGCGCGATTGAATAAAATTTAGACTGACTGTTCTTAGACGAGTAGAAACTGGCTTCAGTGAAATGAGTCACAAGGTTGTGACACTTCAGAAATTTTTAACTGTGGATCCATAGACAATATTAAACATTAAGCCAGCAATCCAACAGGAATTTAATTGCTGACCTGTGATTCCTTTTTGACTCCAAAGGGAGTCACGGTTAAAGCAGGTATTGTCCTCTGTGAATGCAACTTTGATTAATATAGATAGAGCAGCAAAAGGAACTGGTCAATGTTGCACACTATACTCATAGAATAAAGGCAAGTATGTGACAGACATATTTGATATTTTACAATATTATGACATTTGTAGCTTTTCAGTGAGTAATAACATTGTTTTTATAAACACAGTGATTGCGTTGATGGATTGTAGAGCATGATCCTTCCCGGACTTCAGTTTACATTGAAGGTTCACGACATTATTACCATCTTTCTTTTTGCCTCAGGTAACCCAGGAAGAGGGCCAGCAGCTGGCCAGACAATTAAAGGTCACGTACATGGAGGCTTCAGCTAAAATACGAATGAACGTAGACCAGGCTTTCCACGAGCTGGTTAGAGTAATCAGGTAGGTGCTTTGTAAAAGCGTGTTGTTTTACATATCGTCCACATGTCAGTCTTTTGTGTTGTATCTGTAAACAGTGTGGAAGCTTTAGTGTTGAGGCATTTTGCACATATTGCTTAAAAATAATATGTCTAATCCTCAGAGTGCCCTGTTAAACACACTGCAGGATCTCAGGGTGAATGTTTACAGGAGCAACATTTTTTTTCTTAAACTGTTTTGTTTCCTGGCTAGCAAATTACTATAAAAACAGGGACAAGCTATGTCAACAGTTCCTGTAACAGATGAGTTACATTTCTTTGTTTCTGTCTATATTCTTTGAATTTTAAAATATAAATTCCCCACCACTCAAGTATAAAGTCATAGAAAATATTCCAGAAGGCTTTAGCATAAAACAACTGTATCTGCATTCTGCAGGGAGCAATAGGACAGTATTTCCTTCATTTATTGACAAGGAGTGCTAAAACAAAGCACACAATCTCTGGCTGCGTCAAAGAAAAAATCATATTAGATAAATCTCAAAGGAATTTAAACTTTGGCTCACCAATAATTGTGGTAAAGATGAAGAAATTAATTATTAATTAGGTCACATTTCACTGTATGTGGTCATGGAAGTGTCACAGTCAAGGTTAATTTAAATTTAATGTAAACAGTTTCCATATGTACTCAGTAACAGAGGCCACGAGAGCAGTCCACAACCCCCTGACCACCTCCGGTTGCTAGGGAAAAATATGTACTCCACAACCAGTTAGAAAGTGGTTGCTAGAGGTTGTTGGCTGTCGCTAGGTGAAATCAGTTACAAACTAACTAACTGTTTCTTGACTAGAAACAGTGGGTGACTCTGGTAATCTGTTAGCACCCCTGAGGAGGTTTTCAATTTAACTAAGTGACAGCAAGCAACTTCCAGCAACCGCTCCCCGTGACATGAACGTAAATGCTCCAGTAGTTCAGAACACAGCACCTTCTTCCTGTATTTACTTTTAATGTTCCCACCCCAAACACATCTGGACAATAAGCGGACTGAACATTCTCACGTGGTTTGTAGTGATGTGCTTGGGTTTGCTTGTTTTTTTCTCCGTGTAAAAAGAAAGTGAATCATGTGAAAAAGCTACAAGTTTACAAACTCATCAACAGATTCGGACCAGAAGAAATGAACGATATGTGTGAAAATGCCCTGAGTTATAAGGAAGGAGATTTAAAGGGATATAAGGTGCTTTTGGTGGATAACATGTTATACATGATAGTTTAAAGACCGATTAAGTATCTCTGGCCATAATTACAGGTGAAAAAGTACACACTGGGTCCTTATAGCTATGCTCTATCTCTTCCAACTCCCAGGAAATTCCAAGAACAGGAATGTCCACCGTCGCCAGAACCTACAAGGAAAGAAAAAGACAAGAGCGGCTGCCACTGTGTGATTGTCTGAGTTGGCCTTATCACTGTAACTCATGCAGCTACTCTACCACCCCACCCACTCTGCCTGACATCACATCCTAAGTGGATGACTGACCGCTGCCTTCTCCACGTGCATGACTTCAGACAGCCTTTTCTGAAATACTTTGACCAGGAACTGCTGTCCCCAGGACATCGCTATGGACAACTGACAATGCCAAAATTTAACACCACTCTACCTTCAGCAGTAATCTTAATTCACACGAGAGTCCCAACACTAAACATTGCCTTCTAAATCAGCCTGACAAATTAATGTTTCGTACTCTGAAGGACTTCTCTTGCCTTGTAGTGACATTTGTACTTGCTACCGAGATTGAATGAAAACTATGTATCCAGAATGTTAATGACTTTCTTTAGTTTCCAGTGTCTGACCAGAGCAGAGAGATTATCTTATGAAGCTTTGTGTATGTTGTGCCATATCCACCTTTACTCCCATGTGCTAATCTGCTACTGTACATATGTGACATTTGTTGTGATTTTGTATTTCTAATGACCTATTAAATCACCACAGTACAGTGTGTGAGATTGAGTTTGGTTTTACATATATGAACTGAATATATAAGTATGTATATAAATATAATGATAGCCCTTAAAGCTATTATGAGATTAGAGGTTTCTGGCATTTTGCAGTGAATTCTTGATCTTTTTTGTGGTTTCTGCTTTCATTTTAGTCAAAAATGAAGTGTCTACTGTATTTTTTTTTAAGTCTTACAGATCGAAGGATTGTTAAAAATCCTACACTTGTCAAAAAGTAGCAAATCTGTCTGAATTTCTTTCCTTGAAGGTGGCGGTTAGGTCAGCATTGGACATACTACATATTTTTTTCACATTTCTAAGAAGCAGTAGAAATAAAATAACTGGTAGCGCTTTGTGTAGCCTTGAAAACTAACCCGATTTCAGCTCAAAACACTGAAAACTGTACGTTCTATACTCAGCCTTTGACGAGCAATGCTAGCAAATCTCTTTGTTGCAAATCAAGCTTTCAGAACTCCGTTCAGTCTAGATCATTCCAGTGCAAAGCATCTTTTCTGTCAAACATTTAGTCCGTGATGTAGATCAAATAACTGTTTCACCATTCCAATAACACAGTGGCAATGTGTTTGTTCCCTTTGTCTTTGAATTATTCTGTAACACGGCTTCCTCCCCCCTTCCCGATGGTCTGCCAGTTGGAAAATTAGGACAAATGGAAGCTTTGAGATGCACATCGTAAGACAACCCATCTGCAGTGGGACATGAACTCAACGGACCTGCCACCTGTGGAGCTGCCATCGCCACATACCCAGTATAATGTTCTGCCTTCCCCTCCCACTTGTGTACTTCTGTTCAGGCATTGAAACAGAGTACTGCAGTTTGTTTTTCACTCCATCATCTTGTAATATAAACCACAAAAATTAGACGATTGAAGTAACGGACTTGATTAAATGTTTCTACTCTACTTTTATACATTATTTTCTTATCAGACTAGTTGACAAGTATTTTTCTATGTTTATAAGTGAATACATGTTCACAGCACAGCTGTGTGTATATGTAAAGAAGAATATTTAATTCTCTCGATTATTTTAAACTGAAGATGACTGTTGGCCCAAAATTGAAAAATTGGATTCGTCACAAACATGTGACCAGGAAGCTTTTTTTTTTTTTGCATTTTTTCTTTAGTTGCTTTTTTAAAAAAAAATCTTATGTGGCTTAGTTATGGAGAGTATATTTATTATGAGGTGTTCATTACCAGCACAGAGTGGAGGAGAGTTTGAGAAACTTTACAGAGGAGCTTTAAATTATACAAATGATTATTATAATTGCTGAAATCTCCCATCTTATTGCAAAACCTAGTGTGAACCCCAATCATACTGTTTGTTTTTTCTCTTCAACATCAGTGTCCTTTGCCCTGTGTCTAGCTTTTGGTGCTAAAATAAAGTCTGTCATTGAGCCTGAAGGGGTAGAGAATCTTTTTTTAGCTTTAAAAAATGAGATTGAACTGAAAATTCACTATTTACTCCAGATCTGCATTACTGTCCTTTAATCTGCAGGGGACTTCATTTTGGCATGCTTTAACTGAGGCATATCAATTTCCAGACACCTTACATAATAATACACATGTTTATTCTATAAGTGTTGAAATAAACATGTAGTCTAGACCTAAAACAGACAAAAAGGGCCAGATTCAGACAGATCAGTCGTCTTTTCATTCTTTCTTCTTATTTTAACAGTAAACAGCTACATGCATGTATTTGAACCACGGGGTAACTGTTTGACTAAGGGGAAATGCTATTAAGTACATGTACCAGAACATGGTCAAGGCAGTGGTTCTCATCAGATGATCATCAGATGATACAAAACACCACCCAACCCACATTTTTTTTTCGCCGATAGAAAAGAAATGACCCAAATAAATTATTGAAATAAAGGTCAGTAAGATAGGATCAGTAAAGTCTTACTTATAGTAGCTCTGTGCCTCCAAGGGAGGTCTGCCTACACTGTTTGAGAACCACTGGGTTTATATAGAGAGCACATAATACAGAGACATAAAGCTTGATGACAAATTGATGGAAGGACTTAGCTCTTAATAAGTGTTAGCAAAAATAACGGGCTATCATAAACAGCTTAACAGCTCCTTGGCATAATTCCTAGTCTATTGAAAGAATTTACATCATTTGTTTACAATAATTTAATGATATTTAGATTTTATAATCACACACACTATGCCACTATTTGTGCAATAGGTTCTAGAGAGTAACAGTAATGTCAAAATTCGAGCATATGTGATATTTGCGCCTGCAAAATAGCAGAAAATGAAAGTTGCTCGTTAGTGCACTCTCAGGCGCCTTCCTCCTGAGATTAAGTACGAGGAAATGAGAAATTTGAAGGAGTTTGTATTTTTATTTGTTGGCATAAATGGAAGGCTATTACAGGTGAAGCTCAAGAGGATTTCCTGCTTGTCTTTCACCCCAATTTGCACCTTTACTCCGTGGATTAGTTTGCCAAATGAGCATGTCCACGTGTGTGACCAGTTATTCATTTATTTAAAACAAAAAAGCATCACTCAGCAGTGAGCTGATACATACAAGTATCTTTTACTGTGCAGTTGTCAGCAAATGAGTAAAAAAATGCTTATGCGTTCATGTCCTTGCATGCCAGCAATCAAAAGAAAGCGTAGTGCCATACATCGGTACGGACTCGTTAATTAGGGTGAAGTGTATGCAGGGGGCAGTCAGTCTGTACACCTGATCAGCGCCGTAAACGACTTCCATCTGAAATTGGTAGATGCGCGTGCACCGGAGCTGACAGCGCTCGCGCTCGCTCCCCTCTCTGTAGTGGTATAGTCCATAGGATAGCGTCTGGCTGCGCGGAGCCATCCTGCTCATTCACTAAACGGCGATTCCATTAGTTCGTCTTTGCCGTGGCAACGAAGAGGAGGGCAGCGTTTGCGCTTTGATTTTTTTCCTTTCTTTTATTATTTATTTTTTTATTTTTTGCCGTCTCACCATCCAGTCCAATCCCTGCCATGGAGGGAGTCAGCAGCAACAGGAGTATGTCTTACAGTAGATGGAGTTATGACAGGTAAGCGAGCTTTCCCATAATGCCAATTGTATGTTTAAACCAGTATGAGGTGTGATGCGTTTCGCATGTAGTGTCACTCAAGGGCGATATTCTTAAGGTTTAGGCTGTACATCTTTGAGGACCCCCTCCCCTGCGGAATTAGGTTAGTTGGCAGGTGAAACCGAGCAGGAAATGTGATAAGAGTACATCAGTAGCCTGAGCATCGTAGTGTGTTTGCTGTCTGCTACACCGGATGTTTGCTTCACTCTGTTTTGTCATGATGTATTCAGAAATGTCCTACCTTCCCAGGCAGCTCACCATCACCAAAACATTCCCCTGGGAACGGCTGAAGTGTTTATGCTTAAGGCTGTTTCTGTCCACCTATCTATCTAGCTATGCTGGAAACGTGACTGTGTTCGTTCATTACAGTGATCCCAGAGCTTCACTTAATTAGGCAGGAAGTTGGCAGACTGGGTCCCAGTAGGGGTGACTGTGATCAAAACCTCACATTTTGTTAAAAATTAAAACAGGCATGTGGAGTATAAACACAGAAAGCATAAAAGATACACCCACCCTGTACAGCCACTGTTCCTCTCAGCTTCACCGTAGCAGTTTGTGAAAGTGTGTGATTCATGACACATTTGCATGCCATAATAACAAAAATATTCATTTGGTGTGTGTGTGGGATGGCATTGCCATAATGTCAGTGGTAAGTGTGAATGAGTCAGTCCTTCTGAATGGCCTTGACCAATGAAAATGACTCCAACATAGCATGCTTTGAGTGTGTCAAATTAAAAAACACACTCTGTTACATGTTTATCTATATATGCTAAAAAATGCTGGGTTATTTTCATAACTCAATTTCTGCTAGCTGACTAATTCTGTTGGGTCATCGACTCGGTAGCTTTGATCAAATATTGGGTTAAATTTTACCCAATTGGTTGGGTTGAAGACAAGCATCAGAAGAAGGCACATCTTTCTTCACAAACCGTCATTTTCAACTAGATCTTATCTTATCAACCTGATAATATATCACTGGACTTCTCCTCTTCCATGAAATAAAACATGGTAAGTAAAAGGTGAATTCTTACAGTTTAAAGTGACAGGGTTATTTTTGATAATTACAGTTTATTGGTTTATTATATAATTTTACCTGCTTATGAAAAGCCTTTTAACAGATAACACAAGCTAGCTTGTGATGACAAAAGCTACAGGTATTTCTACTTTAAAACATGATACGAAGCATTTTAAGTTATTATTTGAAATTAGGCTTAAGTTGCTCTGTTTAGAGATCACTGTATCTGTAACAAAGAACGTATGAGATTAGGCGTTGCTATACAGCATTTGTTGAAAAAGGTTTTAAAAAAAGAAAAAGGGGCATAGTCAATCTAAACGATTTAATTATTTAATTTATCCTAAATTATTTATGTTGGTAACATAAAGTCTTTTCATTATAAAAGCTAAAGGCAAGGATAACCGATCCTGTTTAGATTAAAAAAAAAAAAAAAAAAAAAAAAAACACCCTTGTTTATATAAAAAAAAAAAAAAAAAAAAAAAGATAGAGGTTGCTAATAGTTTGACCCCCTTTTCCCGGGCATCGTTCACTAGACCGCGCAAAGAGCTGCGCTTAGCTGGCTTGTTACTAATCGAAATGTGATAGTGAGCGCGACGTACGTGAGTATTTATGCTACCAACACACCACCAATATTTAGTAGGGCATGCTGTTTACGTTTGCCTTTTACTTTTATTAAGTGTCAATCATAGATCGGCTGTACTCTTATTGTAAGTACAGTTGTCAGCACTAGTCAACTGCCATGATAACAGTTAAGTCGAATAGGACGTCTATGTAATTACATTTGATATTAGCACAACACCTGTTAATGTCAGTTATTGTAGCGAGACAGCACACTTACAAGAATACCTCTCTCCACAATATTCAAGCATGGCTCAGTCTAAATTTGCAGTGAGCAAAAGATAAAAA